GACATTAAGCTCTTCTGTCTCCTTTGTGACATTGCCTGTCAGCCTCTGTGCCTTGAGGTATGTAACAGTGAGTCAGGATGAGGCAGTCACATCCCACAGGCCTAGCAGAGGGGCTGCCCAGGCCTTAAGAGAGACCTACTTGCCAGCAACCAGAAATCTTCAATTTTGAGCCCAACAACCTTCTGTGTGACCTGGAGCATATCCTTTCCCCTCTGGGCTTGCTGTGCCTTGTGGGGAAGTTAGAGTGGCTGACTCTATGTAATTGCCCTGAAAGGCTTCCAGAATCTTCCCCGAGAGTTACTGGAGAAAGCCCATCCCATCTCCTGGCTGATGCTCCTACTTATGTATGGCAGTTGAATGACTAGTTATTTTGTTCCTAAGACATGTCAGGCTCAGCCTGGACCACTGAAGCTTTCAGAGAACTGAAGCAAACAACTTCTTTTTATTATTATTATTATTTATTTTATTTTATTTTTTTTTACGAACAACTTCTTTAAAAGCCCTAGGAAGCCAGACATGGTGGCTTATGCCTGTAATCCCAACACTTTGAGAGGTAGAGACGAGAGGATTGCCTGAGCCCAGGGGTTTGAGACCACCCTGGGCAACTTGGCGAGACCTCGTCTCTACAATAAATCAAAAAATTAGCCAGGTGTGGTGGCACGTGCCTGTAGTTCCAGCTACTTGGAAGGCTGGGGCTGAAGGATTGCCTGAGCCCAGCAGGTTGAGGCTGCGATAGCCATGAGCATGCCACTACACTCCAGCCTGGGTAAAAGAATGAGACTCCAATTGGAAAAAAAAAAAGCCTTAGGAAGCCAGCAAAGCAGCTTCTCCCTCTGGCCCATCTTGACCAGCATCTCTTCATCTGTTGGTTTCCTCCTTGCTGTGCTGTTCTCTTGGCACCGTGGCAGAGACCTGGTGTCTGGGACGGCCTGAAATCTCATGGTTACAGCTGGGTCCAGAGCCTGCTGAGTGCTGGGGCTTTGGTTTCTGAGCCTTCCCTGGGGCTCCCTCTAGCCAGCCCGCTCTGCCCCGCTCCCCGCATGGGCTCCCTCACCTTCCTGGCCAGCCACTGCATCAGATCAGGTCATGCTAGCAGCGGCTCATTTTGAGTTTTTACTCTGTCAGTCTCTGTGCCTGGTGCTTACATGATCTCATTCCATCCCTCACCATCATCGTGAGGAAATGGGTTCAGAGAGACTTCACACCTCAGCCAGGGTCACTGCCAGGAATTGGCAGGGCTGAGATTTGACCCCAGGTCTTGCCGAATTTCATGTTTCTTTGATACTTAGAATGACTTTACTGGGACGTCCTCTCCCCCATTAGACGCATATGGTCAGGACAGCAGCACTATTAAGAGCATGGGCCCAGCTGGGCATGGTGGACACATCTGTGGTTCCAGCTACTTGGAAGGCTGAGACAGAAGGATCACCTGAGCCCAGCAGGTCGAGGCTGTGGTGGCTGTGAGCTTGCCACTGCACTCCAGCCTGGGTGACAGAGTGAGACTCCGACCCAAAAAAACCAAACAAACCTGGACACCGAGCTGGACATCCTGGGGTTCCAGTGCCCCTCTGCCACTTAGCCAGCTGTGCAGCCATGGCAGAATTCTGCCATTATGCCTCATTGCTGCAGTGGGATGGTGGTAGGTAATAAGGCCCACCTTCTCAGGCTGTTGTGAGCGAGAATGAGCGAACCCGTGTAGTGCGCCATGACAGCGCCTGCCTGACACACAGCGAGTGCTTGGTGATGGCAACGATCCTTGCTGTTGCTCGGCTCCAGCGCCCTCTTGGGGTTTGCCACAGGAGCCGCTTCACCTCCCCCACGCGGAGCAAGCTCTGCCCTCAGCGCCTGTTTTGAGGCTTCCTGGCTAGAGACTCAGGGAGATTGACCGTGTTTGCTGCAGTGAGCAGCAGTGTGCAGGACACAGTGACCCACTGGAGCCTCAGTACTCTGTTCCCAGTGAGCCCTGCCACAAGCCCCTTGGGAGACCCTGGTGTGTTGAGGTAGAGGGGTGTCTGGCACCCAGCAGAGAACCTTGCAGCCCACGGGCACCTGGCATGTTGGAGGAAGCTGGGACCAGTCCAGGCTGTGCTGCTATCCTTTCTCAGCACAGAGCGGGGACCTTGGGGCTCTGCAGTGTCGAGATTCCTGTCTACCTTCTGAGAATTGTTTTTTTGCTTAGAATAAAGGGCACAGAGATCTTCTGCCAGAGATTTAGGAGTTCCTGAGTTCACAGGAACCAAGGCCTTGGATTTGAATAACTTGAGGGTGACAGCTACTGTCCTGTATGGACCCCAAATACTGAGGTAGGACATTTGAAGTCGCCAGCCGTTTGAAAAATGTGAAAAATATCAAGTAAAGGCCAGGCGTGGTGGCTCATACCCGTTATCCCAGCACTTTGGGAGCCCGAGGTGCATGGATTGCCTGGGCCCGTGGGTTCGAGACTGGCCCAGGCAACTTGGTGAGACCTCATCTCTACAATAAATCAAAAATAAGCCGGGCATGGTAGCATGCACCTGTAGTTCCAGCTACTGGGAAGGCTGAGGCAGAAGGATCTCCGGAGCCCAGCGGGTCGAGGCTGGCCTGGCCATGAGTGTGCCGCTGCATTCCAGCCTGGGCAACAGAGTGAGACTCCAATTCAAAAAAAAAAAACTTTGGCTGGTCATGGTGTCTCATGCCTGTAATCCCAGCACTTTGGGAAGCTGAGATGGGAGAGTCGCTTAAGCCCAGGAATTTGAAGGTTCAGTGAACTGTGATCATACCACTGCACTCCAGCCTGGGCAACAGAGCAAGACCTCTCTCTGGAAAAGAAAAAAAAGAGATGTACATATAAATACACTACCTGGAAGCTAAGGCAATTACTACAGATTTATCCATGAATTATGTGGATTTAATGTTAATTTTTACTCCTAAGGGCTGTGACTCCCAAAAGAGCAGATGACCACCAGGTGTGGTGGCTCAAGCCTATAATCCCAGCACTTTAAGAGGTCGAGGTGAATCCGGGCTCGGTGGCTCAGCCTGTAATCCTGTGCATTTGGGAGGCTGAGGTGAGTGGATTGCCTGAGCCTGCAGGTTCGAGACCTGCTTGGGCAACTTGGCGAGACCTCATCTCTACAATAAATCAAAAAAAAAAATTAGCCGGGCATGGTAGCGCATGCCTATAGTTCCAGCTACTTGGAAGGCTGAGGCGGAAGGATTGTTGGCGCCCAGCAGGCGAGGCTGCAGTGGCCGGGAGCAGCCACTGCACTCCGGCCTGGGCAACAGAGTGAGACTCCAACTCAAAAAAAAAAAAAAAAAAAAAAAGAGCCCGAGGTGAGAGGATTGCCTGAGCCCATGGGTTTGAGACCAGCCTGGGCAACTTGGCAAGACCTCATCTCTGCTATAAGTCAAAATATAAGCCAGGTGTGGTAACTGAAACCTGCAGTTCCAGCTACTTGCAAGGCTGAGGCGGAAGAATTACCTGAGCCCAGCAGGTTGAGGCTGCGGTGGCTGTGAGCATGCCACTGCACTCTAGTCTGGACAATAGAATGAGACTCTGACTCAGAAAAGAAGAGAAAAGAAAAGAGATGTGTAAATAATTATGCTACCTGGGAGGTAAGGCAGTTACTACAGATTTATACATGAATTGTGTGGATTTAATGTTAATTTTTATTAATAAGATTGTATAAAAAAAGCAATCTCAGCCAGGCTTGGTGGCTCAGCCTGTAATCCTGCGCCTTGGGAGGCGAGGTGAGTGGATTGCCTGAGCCCGTGGGTTCGAGACCCGCCTGGGCAACT